GGAAGGAAGGAAGGAAGGAAGGAAGGAAGGAAGGAAGGAAGGAAGGAGAAAGGAAGAAGGGAGGGAGGGAAACACTGACAGCAGAAGAAGTACCATGTCCTTTCGTTGTGTGTGTTTGTATGTTGTGTGTATTTATGTCAATCCATGTGTCTATTCCTGTTCCTGCCTGCCAGATAGCTGAGACTATGTAGCTGATATTGTAAGGATCATTCACACTCCTCTTCTGTTAGGTACTTTTTTTGTTGTTGTTGTTTCCAAGACAGGGTTTCTCTGTGTAGCCTTCGCTGCCCTGGACTCGCTCTGTAGACCAGGTTGGTCTTACTTATAGAGATCCACCTGCCTCTGCCTCTGCCTCAGTGAGTGCTGGGACTAAAGGTGTGTACCATCATGCCCAGCTTGTTAGGCACTCTTTAGTCTTCCTGCTCCTAACATGAAGGCTGGTTCAAGATGGGCAGAACATAGGCTCAGGACCCTTATATAGACGATCATCCTTGGTAAGATTCCCGACTTTGTAATGTAGGTAGGTGGGTGCTGTGTGGTCACCGTGTGTGTGTGTGTGTGTGTGTGTGTGTGTGTGTGTGTGTGTGTGTGTGTGTGTTTTGCATTTATTTATTTATTTCAGGAGGGGGACATGTCTGTGGGTGAACCTGTGTTATGGTGCGTATGTGGAGAGCAGAAGACAAACTGTGCAAGTCAGCTCGCTCTTCTACCATGTGGATCTCGGGGATTGAACTGAGGTCATGGGACTTGATGACAAGCAGCCTTACCCACTGCTCCATCTTGCCAGCTTCAGCAGTATATTTCTTATTGAAACAATGTGTTTGGTTGGTGCTTTTTCATTCCACTTTGTAAGTGATTTTCAAAAGCAAAAGGCAAAATGAAGAGGAAGGCAGGAGGCAGGATGATGGAAGCCAGGCCCATAGTCCTCCCCTTGGTTAGTGCTGGTTGAGTACCAGCAGTACTGTATTGGTAGAACATTTTTAAGATTATAGCATTTGGGCTGGGGTGTAGTTCAATGGTCAGCACTTGGCCTAGCATGTGGGAGGCCTTAGGTTCTATTCTCAGCACTGCCAAAAAAAAAGTTACATGATTTTCCACTGTTTGAAAATGGCAAAATAGCCAAGCATGGTGGCACACGCCTGTAATTCCAGCACTTGGGAAGGCAGAGACACTCTGAGTTTGAGGCCAGAGTCCAGGACAGCCAAGGCTACACAGAGAAGTCCTATCTCGAAAAACAAACAAACAACAACAACAAAAAAAAAAAAAAAAAAGAGAGAGAGAAGGAAAATGGCAAAGCATCATGTAAGTTGTTAGTAATGCTAGTTAGTAACCTTTGATAGGCCAGTTGAGGATGGCTCAGTGTGTAAAGGCCTCTGACACCAAGCCTGTTGGGAGCTGAGTTTGATCCCTGAGAGCCCACATGATGGACTCCTACAAATTGTCCTCTAACCTAGGAGGCTCTTATACCCCATCCTCCCACAACAACAAACTCTCTGAGGAGTTTAAGAAAAGCAAGATCTTGGCCCAGCCCTTACCCAGAATGCTTTGTTGCCTGCTTCATCTTTGTATATGTGTCTTTGCCTTGGCCTGTTGGCTGTCCTTGCACATGCAGGCATCAAGCCTTCTGTGGAAGCCATACTTTTCCTCGGTGAGGATGGGAAACTGATATTTAAGCTTGATGGTGCACTTTTCCCATGTGCAGAACTGCCTTATCCTATACTTGGAGGCAAGGCCAAGGTAAGAAGGTAGCAAGTAGACTTGCATCTGTCTGCTGGTAAGTAGCTGAGTGATTCTCTGGATCTGGTTGGTCTCTGTCTTATTCCATGTGGCCTCACCCTGAGTCATGTAACACAGACTCAGGACAGAATGGATTCAAGGGCTTCTTCACAGCCCCAAGATTGCAGAGCCAAGGAAATCCAGAGCTGTGGTGGTGTGGAGTTGGGTGGGGCTTAGAAAGAGATTGACAGTACTTTACAGGATCCCCAAGGAGATAGATGCAGAGGGCTGTCTGTCATGTATTTATGCTCACAGACACACTGTCACTGTTCTCACTGATCCATAGAAACGTCTGTACCACTCTTCTTTGGTATCACTGCTTACTGTAAGGTCAGTGCGGGCTTTTGATCTGTGACAGGCAGAGCACAGAGCTGGAGTTTAGGGAGTGCCGTAAAGTAACCAATGATGGCACCAGAGCTAAGCCTAGCAGCTTTGGAGCCCAGTGAGTCCCATGCCCTAATTCTTCGTGATCTGATAGTGCTGTGTGCCAGTTTTTACTGTCCACCACACACCATAAGCTGAGGCCATGTGCACCACTGTTCTTATATGAGCCCACCATGAAGCATGGTGGCTATGGAGAGTCATACCTTGCTTCTTTTCACTTTAATAAGACTGTCGCTGTTGCCTCCATTTGTGGTTGATGTATTTTAACATGAGATTACACACACACACACACACACACACACACACACACACACACACACACAAAAGTTCCTAAAGCACAGAGAGGTCAGGTTATAAGGTTATTGCAGTTGCACAAGTGGACCAGCAGAGAGAGAGAGAGAGAGAGAGAGAGAGAGAGAGAGAATTGCTTGAGACAGGGTCTAACTAGCCAGTACTAACTCACTAAATCGCTCTGTAGCCCAGGGTGGCCTCAGAATGCAACAGAGGTCTGTACTCTGCTTCTGCTTCCCAGTTGCTTTAACAGGATTAAAGCTGTTCGCCAGCTTTACACAGGGTTTTTAAAACTTCTAACTTAATTTTAGTTGATTGTGTATAGGGGCAGGGGTGCATGCCATGGCACCAGCATAGAACTCAGGACAGTTTACTTACGGGAGTTGTTTTTCTCTTACCAGTGTGGGTCCCAGGGATCTAACTCAGGTCATGAGGCTTGGCAGCAGGCATCTCCATCCACTGAGCCACCTCACCAGCCCAGAGCTGCAGCTATTGAGCTTGGACAGTCTGCTTCAGAATGCCAGCCCTCCTGCTGGCATCTAGCCAAGTACTAAGGGGGAAGAATGGGGATTGTGGGCACCCACAACAGGCCTCCAGAGTGAATTTGGAGTCTGTGGCCATCTAGAGATTGGTTTGTAAATGACTAGTCTGGAGAGGTTCCTAATATACATTTTAAACCTGAAGGAGGATTGTGCAGATCAGTTTTTTCACAGTCAGATTGTAAACTTAGTACCGATACTGGGTCCATATGGGGTCTGGAAAAGGTCTTGTTTATAAATAAAAATAACACAGAAACTTAATATTATTTATAAAAGATTATTATTATTATTATTATATAAACCTATTATTATTTATGAAAGGACAGACTCTGCTATTCTGACCTGACAAGTCATGATCTATACCCCACCACTTGGCCTGTTACCTCTCTCTCGCTCAGTCCTGGCACCTGTGTTCTCCCACGTCACTGGCGAATCTTCCTGCTTCTGATTCCTCTCACACAGAACCGTTCTCAGTCCAGAAGTCTCACCTTTCCTCTCCTGCCTGCAGATATTGGCCATTAGCCTTTTATTAAGCCAATCAACAGGTGATGGAGGAAGAGTGTTTACAAAATACGAGGCAGGTGATAAGCCGTAAGCAGTACCAAAGTCTGGCCAGTCGTCCGCTCTCTGCCAGTTTAGCAGTCAACAATTGAATATACAGAGACACCCTTCACAAGGTGTCTTATGCCAACACTTACGTGTAATCTCCCGGCTCTAGCTTAGGCATGGTCCTGCTCCAGTTGGTCTTTATAGTTAAAATGTGGGTTCCAGGCAGCCCTGTGAGCCTGATCCAGTGTGGATGAAGAAGTCTGAGATTTTAACTAACAGCTCCTAGCTGTGGCCTCCTCTTTTAAGGCTGTTATGGTGCCTTCACTGTGGTAAAGAGGTGTAGGCCTGATGACACGTGTGCCCTCATCTCTTTGTGGCTGATGTTGTGTAGGTACATGCCTCAAAGAGTATACGAAGGGAGAAGTGGACAGAGCCGGGGAGTCAGGCTAGAGCCAGGTAAGGGAATGGGCCCTGGACTCTCCTTTGGGGTGTCCCATTTGTTCCAGTGCCTTCTGTCAACCAAGAGTCACCTGTTAAGTGAGGCTCTCCAAGCTTGACGGACTCTTGACTCTGTACCCCGTATCTTCAAGCCCCAAAGTCATGAATATCACTTCCTCTGTCAGTTGCCAGAGGTTGGGATGAATCCAGTCAAGCTCTGCTGAGAGTGCATGTCCACACTCTTGACATGTGTATGTCGCTGGGGACTTAGGAGTTAGGCCAGTGAGCCTCAGGTCCTAGCTTCACGTGGAAGCCCTCCAAAGGCTCCCTCCAAGGACGTAGATGAGATACAAAATTTGATCCACCACGAAGTATAGTTTGATGTTTGGTGCTGAGTGGTCAGATAACTGAAAGTTTCTCATTGCTGCTTTTCTGTTTTTTCTTGTCAAGGAATGTTCTATCTCGTTGCTGTACTTCAGCCAACCCTGTGTACCTCTGCTTCAAAGGCGAGCCCCTCAGTTGTTGGACTCAGAGGCCTGAGTGCCAGGGCACTGTGGCTAGGGCAACATGGACACCTGCATCTGCGAGGTTGGTTGTTACAGGACCTCAGTACCTTCCTGTGCGTGGCTGGCACTCATCATCCCCCCTAGGAGAGGACTCTGTGATAGAGAAGTCCCTTAAGTCCATAAAGGACAAGAGTAAGAAGCTGGAAGAGGGAGGCCCCGTGTACAGCCCGCCAGCCGAGGTGGCAGTGAAGAAGTCCCTGGGGCAGAAGGTACTGGACGAGCTGAAGCACTACTACCATGGCTTCCGCCTGCTCTGGATCGACACCAAGATAGCCGCCCGAATGCTGTGGCGCATCCTCAATGGCCATACACTGACCCGCCGGGAGCGCAGGCAGGTATGGGTCACATTGTACTGTAGAGCTTACAGAAACTGTCTCCTACTACTAGTGAGTTGTAATGTCCGTGCTGACATGCTCTTTCCTCCCTTGGTGGTTTCTTGAAGCCTTGCCTTTGGTCTCTGTTTTTCTGCTTCTCGTATGTCTTCAGAGACACTGTCTCTCTGGGGAAGTCTGTTAAAGTTATTTTTTTGGCCCTGTGGGCCCGGTATATAGTTCCTTAAGCTCTGAAAAGGCCCTTCCTGGGGCTAGAGAGCTGGTTCAGTCATTAAAAGCTTGCTTTTTAGAGGCCCTGGGTTTAATTGCCAGCACCCGAGCAGTGGTTCGCAGCTGTACTACGTCACAGCAGTTCCAGGGAATCCCATACCTTCTTCTGGCCTTGCAAACCAGGCACACAGTTGGTACCCTTACATACATGCAGCTGAAACATCTATACACAGAAAATAAACATAAATCTTAAAAAGGCTGGGGGGAGAGTCTTAAACTAAGTGCAGTGATAGCTGTGCCCATGGGTCCTGGCCACTTAGGCAAAAAGCCAGCCTGGGTAACAAAGTGAGACCTCATCTCAAAAAGAAACAAAACATAGTCTATTGTTTTTATGTCTCTAGGGGTTACTGTCAGGTTTTCCCTTCTCTTGTTTTCAGCTGAAGTAGTGTTTCCAACTTGTCCGTTATGCTTTTCTGGGCCTGTGTCTTCACTTCTAAAAGTTCTGGTGGCATGTGCATGTTTGGTTGCTTGGTTACCATCAGTTTATTTAAATGAAAAAAGAATGAAACTAGAAATAACCTAAAGAAAGAAGAAAGAAATATACTAGTGGTTTATGCCTTAACATAGGTGGGCATTTATCGTATTTGTCTCCTGTGTATTTGAAGTAGGGAAGATGCTGTCACCGAGTTCTTGTAAGTATGGCAAGCCATCCATGGAAGCGTAAGATACACCAACTTTTCTACAAGGGTATGGGAACACTTTTTTAGGTATGAAAATTTGGGTGGCATCTCTGCCCAACTCCTTATTGAGGTGGGAGGGCCTAAGTAAGAAGAGGCTTTGGGTGCTGGAGAAATGACTCCACAATTAAGACCATTTGTTGTGCAGCTAGAGAGATGGCGCAGCGGTTAAGAGCACTGACTGCTCTTCCAGAGGACCTGGGTTCAATTCTCAGCACCCACATAGAGCTCTCTGTAACTCCAAGATCTGACACCCTCACACACACATCAGACATACATGCAGGCAAAAGAACAATGCAATTTAAAAAAAAAAAAAAAGCATTTGTTGCTCTAAGTTCAATTCCCAGTACCGGTATCAGGCAGCTAGCTCACAACCACCTGTAACTCCTGCTCCAGGGAATCCCTACATCCTTCTGACCTTTCAAGGAGCCTGAACTCAACATGCATATTTTCACTGGTATCTCCGTCGTTGCAGCTCTAGGTCACTTGTCCACTGGCACTTTGCATACCAGTAAACAGCTAGCTTAGTGGGCTGAGTATGTTAATGGTAAAGCCCTTGTTCATTGTATATAAAAGAGGCCTTGTGCTCTATTCCTGACACACATAAAGAAGGAAAAAAAATTAGCTTTTTGATTTGTTTTTGCATTGAGACCCATCCACACGTTGATATACTAGGGTAATAATTTTTTAACAAAGCCATATATGTGTGAGTGTTTAGCAAATATCTCTGTTTTAGGTGTGTGTTGGTGTTTTGCCTGCATGTATGTATGTGCATGCCTGGAATCCTCAAAGACCAGAAGGCATCAGGTCTGTTAAGACTAGAGTTACAGATAGGTGTGAGCTGCTGTGTGAAAGCTGGGAATCGAACTGGGTCCTCTACAAGAGCAGCCAGTGTTCATAACCAGTGACCCAGCTCCAACCCCATTTACCATTTTTTTTCCTTAGACAGGATTTACAGCTGTTAGCGTCCTGGAACTTGATATGTAGATCAGAGTGGCCTCGAACTCATAGTAATCCACCTGTCTCTGACTAAAGGACTGCACCATTATCCCTAGCTGTTTTTTGTTTGTTTGTTTGTTTGGTTGGTTGGTTTTTAGACAAGTTATCACTGTATAACCTAGGCTGGTTTCAGACTCAAAATCCTCTTGTCTGTCCAAATGCTCTACTACCACTATGCCTCGCTCGCCAGGTTATTCTTTGTTTGTTTTTGTTTTCTAGATGGAATGTCTCTGAAAATTTAGTCTCTTAATTAATTTTTAATTTATTTTATCTTAATTTTTGGTTTTTCAAGAGAGGGTTTCTCTGTGTAACAGCTCTAGCTCCTGACTCACTCTGAAGACCAGGCTGGCCTCGAATTCACAGAGATCTACCTGCCTCTGCCTCACTGTGTGTGCCTGAGTTAATTTGTTCTTTAAAGATATGTACTTTAGGGCTGGAGAGGTGGCTCAGTAGTTAAGAGCTCTGGCTGCTCTTCCAGAGGACCCAGGTTCAATTCCCACATGGCAGCTCACAACTGTTTGTAACCTAGTTCCAGGGGATCTGACACCCTCACACAGACATCTGTGCAGGCAAAACACCAATGCACATACAATAAAAATAAATAAATCTTAGAAGAAAGAAAAGAATGTATGTCTTTATGTGTCCTATGGATACCATGTGTGTGCAGGAGCTCACGAAGGCCGGAAGAAGGTGTGGGAGCCCTCGAGCTGAAGTTGCAGATGGTTGTGAGCCCCCCGGTGGTGCTGGGACTCAAGCTCGGGTCCTCTGCAGGAGTTGACATGCGCTAAACTACTGAGCCATTTCTTCACCCCAGCCCCAGCCCTTCAGTTTATTTTTGAGATAGAGATAGATGAAGTTGGCCTGGAATTCAGTGTTGCTTAGCCTCTTCAGTACCTAGATCAAAAGTCTGTTAACCTATTATTATTATTTAGGTGTTATATAAAAGCAAAAAATAGGCTATTTGTGTGCTGGAGAATGCTCAGAGGACCGGGGTTTGATTCCTAGCACCCATATAATGGTTCACAACCATCTGTAATTCTGGTTTCAGGGCATCTGATACCATCCTGACTTCCTTTGCCACCAGGTACACACACATATATATACACACATACACATAAAATTAAATACATCTAAATTTTAAAAAATTATTTATGAATACTATATTTCAGCACAGGTTCATTTGTTTGTTTGGTTGGTTGGTTTTGGTACAGGGTCTTGCTGTATAGCCCAGGGCTGACCTTAAATTTGAAATCCTGCCTCAAATTTCTAAATTCGAGGATTGATTATAGGTGTGTACTACCTCTATGCCTGTTATAGTCACCGTCCGTTTCAAAGATAATTGTGGAATGACTGAGGAACCATACAACAAGGAGTTGTAATTCTACTTTTGTTTTGTTGTTGTTGTTGCATTTGGGGGGAGGTGTTTTTGTTTTTGTTTTCTAAGACAGGGTTACTTTGTAGCTCTGGCTGTCCTGGAACTCACTCTGTAGACCAGGCTGGCCTCGAGCTTGGAGATCTGAGCTGCCTCTGTCTCCTAAGTGCTGGGATTAAAGGCATGCTCCACCACTGCCTGGTATAATTCTGCTTTTTATGTTTATACACACTTAAGGAGTCCTTTCTTTTATTATATTTTTTAGTTTATTTTTTGTGATGCTAGGGATCAACTCTAGGGTTTTATTCATGATAAACAAGTGCTCTACTATTAAGTCACATCCCTAACCCAAAAGATCTTTCCTTTAAATATTTAAAGCCAACTGCTGGATCAGGTCATTGAGAAATGATTAGATTGTCAGGGCTGTCAGCTAATGTACTATCCCTTTAATTCATTGATGCATTCAGAATTTGACTAGCATATTGGCAGGTCATGTGGAAGGTCGGGCCAAGCTGGAGGAAATAGACCCCTGGAAGGTATGTCTTTGTGGCTCATTCTTACTCTGGTCCTTTTTGTTGCTTTCTTTGCTTCCCAGCTACCTTGACGTTAGCATCCCTGTTCTCCCAACCCTTGGGTACCATGATGGACTGGAACCTCGGAAACCATGAGCAAAGACAATTTGTTCCTCCTCCTAAATTGTTCTCTTAGGTATCAAGTCACAGTTATAAGAAAACTTACTAATACAGAAAGTTGATACCAGAAATAGGGTCATTTGTGTTATTAATCCTGACCCCTGCAGTTCTTAAGCCTTTAGAGCTGCTACCAGGAAGAAATTTGTACAGAGCTTAATGAGTGATTCTGGTAGGAGCTCAGGTGACCAAAATTCTGACAGATGAATGGCCAGTAGAGACTGCAATTAGTCAGTGGCGGAAGTGTTTGCTCTGCAAGTGTGGGGCAGGGGTCAGCTTCCTAGCGCCTACATAAAAGCTGGACATGGTGGCACATGTCTGTAAACCCAGCTGTGGAAGTGTGAAGACAGGCAGGTCCAGCGTCTCACTGGTCAGCCAGCATAGCCAAGACAGCAAGCTCCAAGTTCAGAGATAGTCTCTTTTCTCAAAATAGTAAGTGGAGAGCAATGAAGGGATGGCACCTAATGTCAGTTATGGGCGAGTGTGCGTGCACACACACCCCTTACAGGCAAGTTCCAGTTAGAAACAGAACTTGGTTGAGAATTGGCTTGGAGGCCACTCATGTTATATTCTGGCAAGGAACTTGTCCAAATGTCATCTGTGTCATGAGACTTTGTGGGAGTTTGAGTTTAAAGGTGATAGACTTATCTGGCCAGAGAAAATTCAAGACAAAAAAAAAAAAAATCAGAGGCCTACAAGATTGCTTGTCACTAAAGCCTGACCATCAGAGTTAGTTCTTGAAACATGTAAGAGTATATTGGGACAGAAATGATGGCACAAAGTTGTTCTTCACTTCCTCATGTGTGTGCTGTGCCCTCCCAACGTGCATCCTAGGTACCCATGTGCTCACACACACACACAATAAAAATAATTTAAAGCTACAGAATCAGGCTGTGGAATGGTTATACCTGGATGTTTTTACCTGATTTATAATGAGGATCAGGAGGAAAAACACTGAGTAAAAAGGAGCCAGGCATGGTGGTGCACACCTTTAATCCCAGCACTTAGGGAGGCAGAGCCAAGTGGATCTCTGTGAGTTTGAGGCTAGCCTGGTCTACAAAGTCAGTCCAGGACAACCAAGGCTACACAGAGAAACACTGCCTCAGGGGAAAAATATGGACTAAAAGACCTGAGAGCTGTGTACTTGGTCCAGAAAAGTGAGTAAAAAGTTGGAGCTAACAATACTGCATTTGTTAAAGAGATTGAGACCATGGGGCTGGAGAGATGTCTCATTGGTTTAGAATGCTTGTTGCTCTTGCAGAGGACCTGGTTGAATCCCAGCACCCATGTGGTGGCTCATATCCATCTCTAACTCTAGTTCCAAGACATTAGATTCCTTTTTTTGGCCTCTGTACACCAGGCACACACATGGTACACATACAAACATACAAGCAAAACATTCAATACACATACATAAATACAAAAAAAAAATTTTAAGAGATTGGGACCATTAAAAACAAGCAAGTACTTCTAAGAAACAAGCCTTTAGGGCATCTAGGAAATTGGCCAAACTATGGCTCCTCTGTGGAAAATTATAAGCTCATTTGAAGGACTTCACAGGCCCCCTACCTGCAGGGGGTGGTCAGGGACATCTTTCACAGATGCTATCTTGTCTAACTTGTCCTCCTTTGCACCTGCCTTGTTTATCTCTACATAGGTCCTATACATCTGGTGACCCGTAGGTTAGCCCCCTTCCTGTTCTGAAGACCGTTGGCATGTAGTTTAGACTCCAAGAAAGAAATGGGTTTCTGAAGGTATCTGTTAAGAGCTCTTGAGTCACACTGTGGTTTGTTTGTAGCAGGCTCTGCCCTGCTCTGTCCCACTGATGTGCTCACATCTTTGCAGTTTCTCCGGATTTGTGCAGACCTCTTCCGCCTAGTGCCCTTCCTGGTGTTCGTGGTGGTGCCCTTCATGGAGTTCCTGCTGCCCGTAGCTGTTAAGCTCTTCCCCAACATGCTGCCGTCCACATTCGAGACCCAGTCCATCAAGGTGAGGGCACTGGGACTTGAGTCCACTTGAAAATGAGTCTGAGGACTGGGGGGAGGGCTAAGTGGGTAAAGCAAGCACGTGCATGAGAACACAAGGTCTTGAATTTCAATCTCTGGATCCATGCACAAACCAAGCTGGGTAATGCATCTGTGCTCCTGTGGCAAAGTGTAGGGTGGAGACAGGATAGTTTCCAAAGATTGTGCACTAACTGCTGGCAAACAGCAAAGAAGAGACCCTGCTTCAGACTGGCAGATAGTGAGGACCAGGGGATCCTCTGGTCTCCACACATATATCCACACTCAGTAAGTCAACACACACGTACATGTGCACACACAAATAATAGGAAATGAGCCTTCAATTCCTTCCAGACTCACATTGTTACATAAGTGTTGACTGGTTCTTTTGTAAAGTACCAGCTGAGTCAGGTGATTGTGTGAGAACAAATGACCCGTGAGGCCCCGAAGCCTCGCTGTCTGGCATCATAAAATAAGTCTACCAACTTCTGCTATTGAGGTAGGGTTGGGGCTTCATGCAGAATTTTTTTTTTTAATAGAGTTTAAGAATATATCACACGGGGCTGAGAGATGGCTCAGAGGTTAAGAGCACTGCATGCTCTTCCAGAGATCCTGAGTCCAATTCCCAGCAACCACATGGTGGCTCACAACCATCTATAATAAGATCTAGTGTCTTCTTCTGGCGTGCAGGTGTATATGCAGATAGAACATTGTATACATAATAAATAAATAAAATATTAAAAAAATAATATATCACACTTAGAGTTTGTTCCTTGAAGGGTATGGGATGTGGGAGACTTGTCTTGTAGTAAGCAGCAGGCTTGAGGCTCCTTTCCAGGTAGAGACGGGTAGAATGCAAGAGGGAGCAGGGCAGGGCTGGAGTATAACCTTCACTTTACTCTCACAGGAGGAAAGGCTGAAGAAAGAGCTTCGGGTGAAGCTGGAGCTGGCCAAGTTTCTCCAGGATACCATAGAGGAAATGGCCCTGAAGAACAAGGCAGCCAAGGGGAATGCCACCAAAGATTTCTCTGCATTTTTCCAGAAGGTGTAGTACTGCCATCTGTCAGAGGATGATTTGACGCTCGAGCACTATTGGGCCTTTTCTTCCCCCTTCCTTCCTCCTTCCCTCCCTCCCTCCCTCCCTCCCTCCCTCC